GTCTGATATTAGCAAAGAGAATAAGCAACGCTGGAAGAATGGCTACCCTCAGTATTTTCTTGCAACACAATAACCACATGCTTTATAGGAAAGTATAAATAAATGACACTACTCAGGTTTTGCACTGAGTTATTGTGTGAAAAAAGAAAGGATGTAGGTGTGATTCAGAGACAGACTGAATATGAAGCAGTTTTGGGAATACTATAACCACTACATTTTGCTTATCTTTTCCTTTTTATGTATGCACAAGAGTGTAAGTGACAAAAATATAGGTCTAAATATGTCAAAAGAGAGCTCTTTCAATATGTTTAAAATAAACCGGATAAGTAAGCATTGCTATAGTTTAATAGGCAGCATTTTTTTTTTCTGTCTTAGTGACATAAAAAAACAATGGAATTCCTTAGAATTGAATGTGCTTAGAGTCCATAAACTCTTAATGGGATAGGGCTCAGGAGTGTAAGAATACCCAACTCACTGTAGGAAGTTCCCTCTGCATACAGATTACAAGGTATCGGAATATTAAATGCGAACTGTTTGTTTACGTAAAGGAAAGCTCTACTTACAGGGTCCAGGGGTTTGGATCGCGCCCAAGTCATCACCGTGGATAGTAAAATAAACAGCTTTCGCTTGTCAAAATGGACGACTTCTTCATTCAGTGCTGTGGGGCCAAGAGCAGAGCAGTTATCTGCATCCTTGCACAACTTGCTTTTGAAATCTTGGAAACCAGCCTGAGCAAGAGCGGAGACCCTTTCCACTATGAATAGAAAGAAATTTAAAATTTTTTTTGGCCACTAAAATATATATAAAAATTAACTGGGCATGGTGGTGCATGCTGAAGTCCCAGCTACTCGGGAGCTGAGGCAGGAGGATTGCTTGGCCAGAATTTGAGGTTGCTGTGAGCTAGGCTGACGCCACGGCACTCACTCTAGCCTGGGCAACAAAGGAGACTCGTGCTCTCAAAAAAAAAAAAAAATTATATTTGTTTTTCTTTTCTCTTTTCCACACTGGCCCTTCCGATCAATCATATGTGAAGAACATTCCATGTGTAAGTTGCTTTAGAAGCTGGTTTCACCAGATAAGATGAAATATCTGTTGACCCTGGGAAGCAGGGATGAAAAATATTTCTTGCCAGTCCACGGAGCTGTGCTTATTCACTCACTTTCTCCATGGCTCACCCTGCCATGCAGCCCCAGGGAGGGATGCATCTGAACAATCAAATTAAAATTTGTTGAAGAATCAAAGGGAAGATCTGACTCTTCCTGGTTGTTACGCGTGACAACCACAGCCTGTCAGTCCTTCTTGCTCTGGACTGTTTGGCTGAATCAGGGTCACCTGGTGACCCCTCTTTACTCACACATGCAGAAACAAGTACATAGCAATGCTTTAAAAATAGATGGATACTAAGGGGGAAAAAAAGACCCATGTGTATTAAGATTTTCCTACTTATTGAAATCAATACAAATGAAAATGTCCTATTATTGATCTTTCTTTTGTGTCAAAGCTGATTCTCATTCAGTTTTGTATCTGTCTGGGTGCTTTTGGCTACTCCTATCAGAAAATCAAAGACTCAAACATTACTAACCACCTGAGGATCATTTCATCTCCGCATAGTGGGTCTCAGAGCAGGTGGCTCCAGGGCCAGGGGCTGGCTGCGGTTGGTGCTCTGTGCCGCGCCTCCTGGCTCTGCTCCCTCTGGGTGTTGGTTTATCCGAAGGACTGTAGCAAGAACGAGGCGAGCTCACAGCTTTCAATACAATGTCCCACAATGTCCCCGGAGAGGGACTTGAAAGTCCAGGATGAACTCTTCTGAAGTGTCTGGCAGCTTTCTCCATGCATGAAGGCTGGCGACCAAGCTTGTTCTCCCTGGCAACATGGCTGGCACACCGCCGGGCCCCCTTGCAGTCAGTGTGGCCACGGGACTGACGGGTCTGGGTTTCAGTCGAAGGAATTTGCAGAGGTGATGAGCACCTCTTCTAGGTTTGGTTCATAACACTTCCGATGTGTGATTGTGTTTCTCCCCCGTCCGTCAGTCTTTGATGCTGGGGGTGCACAACATGGCTGCTGAAGTGTTGAGCAATAGTGGGAGATCCTGGTCTCAAAGGCACAGTTGGGGATGGAACTGACTCGCTGCATTTCAGGAACACCGTTCTGAATTCTTCACGTCGAGCAATGAATAAACTTCCATCACGTTTAAGCCACTCCACATTTTGGGGCTGTGTACATTCTCACCTCCCAGAGTTGGGTTGTGTGCCCACCCCTCAGCCAATCATTGGCATGAATAATGGGACATCATGGCTGGTTTTTGGATCAATTAAGATTTTCCCCGGGGAGCTGCAGACAGAGGCTTCTTCCTGGCATCTCATGGGCAGTTGTGATACCTGAACTAATCAAGGCTCTGCAGGCAAGGAGGAGAGGGGGCGCTGTTCGCCAGAAAGCCAGCAGCATCTACAACAATCAAGCATTCACTTTTCTCTTTGAGTTGCATTATGGAGTCATGGCTTTTCACAAACTCAGCTGACTTCACATAACCATATATAACCATGATATATCCGAGCAAAGAAAGAAATAGTGGGCCGGCGCAGTGGCTCACGCCTGTAATCCTAGCACTCTGGGAACCGAGGCGGCGAATTGCTCCGGAGGTCAGGAGACAAACCAGCCTTGACAAGAGCGAGACCCCTCTCTACTATAAATAAAAGAAATTAATTTGCCAACTAATAAATGATAGAAAAATAGCCGGTCATGGTGGCCGCAGTCTGTAGTCCCAGCTACTCGGGATGGGCGCGGCGACGGATGAGGACAGTCAAGGAGTATAGCTTGAGACACAGGAGTTTCGAGGTATTGCTAGTGAGCCTGGGCTGACCGTCCGACGGCACTCACTCTAGCCTGAGCAGAACAGAGTGACAGAACTCTGATCTCCAAAAAAAAAAAAAAAAAAAGAAATAGCATACCAAGGGGTAAATTTGAGGAAATTTAATAAAGGATTACATTATACACAATGTGAGCAGAGGTGTAGGGAAACCGCATGCCTGGAGCCAGCAATAGGGTGCTTGTAAGCCCGGCTGAGGCTGAGAACAATTGAGGGAACAGGCTATGTTAGAAGCTACGAGGTCAGAGACAGGTCCCCAGACAGAAGATGCTTTGGGTTGAAGGACTCAGACCCACCAGCGCAAAGAAGGATCAGTTGGAGAGAATGAAACCCTGAACCTCATGCTTGTCTTGATTCCCATCCTCTTCAGCCAAGTGCTCCCACATGGAACACCAATGGGGAGCAAAGACAAAGGTTGCCATTGCTGAGCAGACTTGACAAGAGCTAGAGAGGGTGAGGGAGATCCGTGGGGCGGATTGGAAAATATCGGCGCAAAAGAAATGTTTGTTGTGATGCTAAGCTTCTCCCAACTATGCTATGAGAAACCACTTGTGTCTTTTCAGCATCCGCCCGACTTCCTGCCATACTCTCGTAAAATAGTCTATGGCTTTTTAGCATCAACGAGTCAATGTTCCACGCAGGGGAGGTAGCTACATGCCTGTTAATCCCGAGGACTGGTCCTCGGAGACAAGGCTGGAGGATTGTTTTCAGGTCAGGATATTGAACGCAGCCTGGGCAACACAAGTGGAGATCCCTGTTTCTACAAAAAGTTTTTTAACCTAATGGGGATGCCAGGTGGAGGATCACTCTCAGGTCAGGAGTTCGGAAACCAGTCTGAGCAGAATGATGACCCATCTCTACTAAATGAAGAAATTAGCTGGCAACTAAAAATATAAATAGAAGAAATTACAGCGGGCATGGTGCACAACTGCTGTGTAGTCCAAGCTACTTGAGAGGACTGAGGCAAAGGCTGCTTGAGTCCATGAGTTTGAGGTTGCCTATTGAGCTAGGCTGAACGCCATCGGCACTGCCATAGCCTAGGCGCAAAGCCAGAGTGAGACCTGACTGTCTCAAAAAAAAAATTTTTTTTTTTAAATCAGCCAGTAATGTGGAGCACTCTATAATCTTAGCCACTCTGAGCGAGGAGGAGGACTGGTGTGAGCTCAGGAGACTGAGACATCCTGAGCAAGACAAGAATCCATCCTCTACTAAATTAGAAAAGTAGCGGCAATGTGTGGCAACGCTGAGGCCAGCTACTGGAGCTGAGGCAGAGGATCGCTGAGCCAGGAGTTTGGAGCTTCAGTGAGCCATGATTGTCACTGCACTACCATGCCCAGGTACACCCTCCTACCTGCAGTGGATGACGACACCTGTGCTAAAACAAACAAACAACAAACAAAAACATAATATGTCAGGCCTATCCAACTTTACGGACCCACAGAATAGCTGGTCGCGAGAAACATTTTGGATCAGGGAATCCCAGAGGATGCTGTTGGGCCATTTTTCATAGTGACAGAGCTGAAATATTCTTCACAAGGTCATAATTTCGATCTCAGTTTGAATTGTTGAAAGGGCCAGATCAGACAAGGCTGAGAAGTGCTCAGGATAGTGCTTGGGGGGTCCTAGTTAATGTCACCTTGAGCAAATAACCTCTGTCTTCTTATTTGTAGGATAAGGTTAATATGCTCTTTTCAGACTTATTTTGAGAAACAAATTCTGGGATTCTGGGAACAGGGTAAACATGGTCTCCTCCTCCCCCATTCCAGTTCTGAGTTTTTGCCTCTTCTGGGCCAAGTGACTTTTGGGACCTTGGCAGACGAGAGCTCGAGTACTGATCAGGGTACTCAGCTGGGCACTGATAAGGGCTTTCAACCCGCTGGGCTGGACAAGAACTGGGCCAGGACATCCTGGGGTGAACCTGAAGCTCAGCCATCTGTGGGTGGGTGTAAGCATGATGCTTAAAGAGCTGAGATAATGTACGGCGAATCTGGGAGCAGTCCTGGCTATGCAGACAACCCTCAAAAAAGAGGAAAACTATTACATGCTTTGACCGGAATTGAGGAGAAAAAAGCCATTGCAAATTGTCTCAGAAAGAACTTTTCCTACCCTATATACTCTGTTACTCTGGACTTACATTTTTTCCAAATTTGAGAACCATTTTTTCTGCATTTATGTGATCCATAAAATTAGGATGAGGCTTTCTTCTTCGATAATCCTCTTCAGTGAATGGAACCTCATTGTCATCCTATAAGAGAGAAAAAGTGCCAACTGGGTGAGTTAGAGCTATGTAAAACTGCTAAGCCCAAAGAGGTGCTGCTTTAAGCTCAAATAAAGCTTAAAACTACTGCTTATCTTAACAGTATGTTACTTTTCTTAAAAATACTTTAGCAAGCCAATTTTTATAATTTAAATTTAACCTAACAAAATTAAAAGTTTAAACGGAGAGACTTTTATTTTGCAAAGACGGCGGCAAGTTGTCACTGCGATTCCATAAAGGTATTAAATAAACCATTTCTTAATAGTTCTTGCAATGTATGTAGTTTTATTTTTTTAATTTATATTGTGTGGCTGGGCGTGGTGGCTCACGCCTGTAATCCTAGCACTCTGGGAGGCCGAGGGGGGCGGATTGCTCGAGGTCAGGAGTTGGCTCAGAAGTGGGTTAGATGGCCCAGTCTGGCTAATCAGGGCACCCCTTTCCCTGGCCATAGTGATTGCTTTGGGGTTAGGCTCCTGACTGAGATCTGGCAAACAGCACGTTCCGTTCCTAGGACAGGACGTGAGCTGAGAGGGGAAAAGAGAACTGAAGCTCTGGGGCTGTATGCTGGGCAGCCCCTGAGAGCCGGAAGGAGGAGCGAGCTTACTGGAGAATGGAGCCTACTGAGGGGAGAAAAGAAGCTGCGAGAGAGAGAGAGAGCAGGTGAGCTCCGAGGACACTGTTCAAGGGCTAGGTCCAGCTGCGCCTGAAGTCCTCTACGGACTCACCAACTATGTGAGTCCATCAATTCCCCATTTTGCGTGACATTCACAAAACAGGTGTGAAACCTGCGGTCCACCCTAACGGATCTCTCAGTCCACCGGGAAAGACAACAAATAGATGGCATTTGGTATAACAAGCGTGATAAGTCCCTAAATATTCCTTGTCATAAATAGTAGATTCCATTGATCCTAATATGCATTTTTTTTGTCACATTGAACATCTCTGAAATTAGACTGTGTCTGTAATCAATGCTTATTATTACCATAGTCAGCCAGGAAGCACTGACAATGTCATTGCTGGTGCCCGGTAACCTTGAACACACTGTTCACGTTGTTATCAATTCTAATTCAGCTAGTGATACTCTTGTTGATTAATTGCCTTTAAAAATATCTTCTAAAAGAGTATGCTGTGATTCAGCACTGAAGGGAAAAGGCATGAATCAGCACCAAGGCACAGGAGACAGAGTGGCAAATGTCAGTCTGATATTAGCAAAGAGAATAAGCAACACTGGAAGAATGGCTACCCTCAGTTTTTCTTGCAACACAATACCACATGCTTTATAGGAAGTAATAAAATGACACTACTCAGGTTTTGCAGCTGAGTTATTGTGTGAAAAAGAGAAGGATGTAGGTGTGATTCAGAGACAGACTGAATATGAAGTAGTTTTGGGAATACTATAACACTACATTTTGCTTATCTTTTCTTTTATGTATGCACAAGAGTGTAAGTGACAAAAAATATAGGTCTAAATATGTCAAAAGAGAGCTCTTTCAATATGTTTAAAATAAACCGGATAAGTAAGCATTGCTATAGTTTAATAGGCAGCATTTTTTTTTCTGTCTTAGTGACATAAAAAAAACAATGGAATTCCTTAGAATTGAGTGCTTAGAGTCCATAAACTCTTAATGGGATAGGGCTCAGGAGTGTAAGAATACCCAACTCACTGTAGGAAGTTCCCTCTGCATACAGATTACAAGGTATCGGAATATTAAATGCGAACTGTTTGTTTACGTAAAGGAAAGCTCTACTTACAGGGTCCAGGGGTTTGGATCGCGCCCAAGTCATCACCGTGGATAGTAAAATAAACAGCTTTCGCTTGTCAAAATGGACGACTTCTTCATTCAGTGCTGTGGGGCCAAGAGCAGAGCAGTTATCTGCATCCTTGCACAACTTGCTTTTGAAATCTCGTGTCTTGTTAGTTACCAGTGGGGCTTGAAGTCACCCCTTCTTCAAGGAGCAACTTAACACCACAAAGGTGCTACCCACGGTGCTTCTCCTTTCCCCACCACTGTTCTTCCAATTCTCCCCCCAGTCGCCCCATCCCTTCTGAGCTCAGCTCGTGAGGGTGGCCCCTTCCTGCTTCCTGGCCTGTAGCTGTGTGCTTTCCCTTTATTGGAGGGCAGGTGATAGTAATAATCATGGTTACGAATTAGAACACACACGGGCTCGTTTGTTTTATGAGAGAGGCCTACTATTCTCACTTGTACAGATGGGAGAACTGACGTTTTCCCAGAGCCAAAGAGGGCAGTGATGGGGAAAAGTCCAGTCCAGGCTGCCGTGCTGCAGGCCTGTGCACCCCCTGCCATGCCATCCGGCCAGCTGCACAGGGAGGGGAGCTGGCTGGGAATGGGGACAACAGAGAGCCCCGATCTGAAGGTGAGGCCCTCCTGGAGGTTCGAATAAGGCAGCCTGGTTCAGGTAAAGCCATTGCGGAAGGAAGCCATTGTGGTGGGAGGGAAGGTGAGGCATTTGATTTCAAAGGGTTTTCTGCTTTGTAGGAGGGCGACGGAGATTTCCTCGTATGCATTCAAGCAGGTCATTCCATGAAAATATCCTTCATGATGGATAATTTTCCGAAAAAACAAAAATCTAGATATAAAGTGAAGTCTAATTTGAATGTCAGGCCTGGCGCGGTGGCTCACGTCTGTAATCCTAGCACTCTGGGAGCTGAGGCTGGTGGATGCTCGAGGTCAGGAGTTTCAAACCACTTGAACAAGAGCGAGACCCGTCTCTACTATAAATACAAAGAATTAATTGGCCAACTAAAAAATATATAGAAAGAATTAGCCGGCTGATGGCGCATGTCTGTAGTCCAGCTACTGCGGAGGCTGAGGCAGGAGGATTGCTTGAGCCCAGGAGTTTGAGGTTGCTGTTGAGCTAGGCTGACGCCATGGCACTCACTCTAGCCTGGCAACAAAGCAAGACTCTGTCTCAAAAAAAAAAAAAAGAATTGTCAGAGGGTCTAAGTGTATACAGTTGTCATGGTATTTTTTTTTTAGGCCTGAGGGTGATTCCCTAAATATAGAAGAAGCAAATATGAAAGCTGTCTGTATCCTGGATCTAATAACATATTGGATTTCTCCCATAAGATGAGAAAGGATTAATTATGAATTAAGGCTCACTAGAACACTGAGTTCACATATTAATTCTCAAATGCTTACAAATGTCAATTAAGTTATCTATTTTTTATATCGATAGTATATGTCTCAGTCAGAGTATAGGTTTGCTATACTTTGCATGACTACGTTTCTCTCCACTCTGTGCTGCGCTTCAGTTTGGTCACATATTTTTGGAATACATTGGATGACCTACTTTTCGAAGTCTTCTGCTAATTGTAGCCGAGTTGATTGTTATGGACGTGCATGATCGTTTATATAATAGAGGTCTAAGGACGAGATCTGCATTCAATTCTTTGATTTGAGTATACAAATGATGTAAGTAATTGTCACATATTAGGCATATAATATGTCTTTCTTCATTTCGAATAATTTATTCGTTTTGACTGGTCATCTTGCCTTCCTTTCACTGACTCTGTGAAAGGGCAAGTTAGAAATTTTTTCTCTTTCTAGATGATCCAAAAGGATATCTTAAAATTCAAATGCTCCAAATGAGAAACATGTATTATAATTTAGACTCTTTAACATGATAGTCCAATGTAAGAGAATTTCATCAGATACTTAATGAGTCGCGTCATGGTATACGAATCTATGCCAAGCAGTCTAACCCTCTTCTT